CTGGACTCAAATGAAGGTGTAGAACCATCTCAGGGATGATCAGAAGAAATGGACAGCACCTAAGTTAAATATATGAGTGTCACAGCAAAGGGTCTGAATACTTATGACCATGTGATATTTCAGTTTTTCATATTTAATAAATCTGCAAAAATGTCAAACATTCTGTGTTTTTCTGTCAATATGGGGTGCTGTGTGTACATTAATGAGGAAAAAAATGAACTTAAATGGTTTTAGCATATGGCTGCAATATAACAAAGAGTGAAAAATTTAAGGGGGTCTGAATACTTTCCGTACCCACTGTATGTGTTTCATGTGTCACAGTAGAAAAACCACATGTATAAAAAAATAAAATGAATGATGAACGAATTACATTTAGCTGCTTTAGTTTCAGGGTCCTGGTAATGTGCATGTTAGCTCACTGTAATGGTTTTACTGGGACACTTGAACTCAGTGGACTCATTGTACATGTGATTATTAGCACCTGTTTTGATTTGTCATTTGTCATATTGAGGAAAAACTATGGCCAGACAAAATGTCTTCTGTGAAAAAGGCTTAGGAGGAAACCTGTTAAATATGTCTGATTCCCAACATTTTTGTGGATTTTTGATGTGAACCTGGGTTTATACAAAAATCAAATCAGAATGTTCAGTTTATATTACACACATTTTACACCTATGGGAGGGGAGGAGGATAGTGTGATACACAAGTATATGAAGAAACTGAAATTTGTAGGAGATGAGTTGACATCATGAAGAGACAACAAGAAACTGAAATTTGTAGGAGATGAGTTTGAAAAGACATCATGAAGAGACAACGGCATGAAGCGTAGGTCTTCCTGCTCATCATCTGCCAGCTGACTTGGTGACAGATAGCATGCAGGAATGTTAATGTCTGGCATGCAGGGCAACAGATCTGCTCTCTGCTGGCAGGGCCAGGACACAGAGGGATGAGGTGTGCTGTCAGTATCGCACCAAGCTCACAGGGTGGTGTGTTGACACCCTTTTTTTTTTTTTTTTAAACAGCTGACTTTGAGGTCGGTGCAGTTCACATGCAATGAAATCAGAACAACCGCAGATAATCTGGGTGATGAACTCACAAGCAGCCCACAAAAACAACATGTGTAAAAGGACAGCACACTCATATAACACATGTAAGCTACATACATAATGTGCTTGTTTTTATGTTAGCAGCCGTTTTATTTACACTTGAGCATTTTAGATTTCTGCAGCTGAGATATATCTTAAAACTGGAATGTGTGCTGAATTGCATTTAGATGATTACCTAGCTATGGTAGTTAAATGTGGGCCTGGTACACAATGTGTAAATATAATATGCTGTCTGACCTGGGCTTGTTTTGCTCATCCAGAGGACCTCTGTCATCATTCACCCGCTTTTCTCTTTCTCTTCATTTTTACTTTATTTTTAAAATCCAATTTATGCCTTTTATTGAAAGGTGCGGTACGATCTCAACATCAATAAAAGGGCAAATGTGTAAAAGCCAATAAACAGTGTGTATAACTGCAATGAAGACAAGTGAAGCTCTCATCTAGAACAACACTACTACATTATATTCAGAGGTCTTCCTAATATTCTGACCCTCTCATGTATGCAGCTGGGAGGACAAAAATATAGACACCTCTAAATATAATGTAATCTGACATTTTCAACAAAAATGAAATCTTTTGAGCTTCATAAACACAGATGTTTAAGATGAAAGTGATAGTTATATAGGTGTACCTAATAAAGTGGCCAATGAGTGTATATAAATCATATAAAGCCACATAAATTAGTGTTCTTCTTCACACTATGTAAAAATGTAAATGAAAGTTCCTTAAGGTCTAGATTAATGTGTTTGGCAGAGGAAAAGGAGTGAGATGGGGTGTGATGAAGGGTTGTTGTCCATTTAAGTGTGAATTAGTTGTCGAGGAAGCTGGAGGTGAGCACTGCAGTAGGGAATCTGTGGAACAGTGGTTTCCATTCATACCAGTCATCACCCAAAAAAAACTTCACGCCAGAAATGTATTTGTTTTAAGATCACATCTAACAACAGAACTGGCGTCATACAGTGGATTACAATCCTTATAAAAACCCATTTGTGAGTACTCTGCTTTCAAAGGTTAAAAATCTCTGACGCAAGGAGCGTACTGGTGAACCGAGATGCTCGGGAGGTCTGTGGTATTACAACAAGGAGCCATGAGTCCATCTGAGGAGGTCATGACCTTTCAGAAACGCTGCAAGTGCAAGGTGATGTTACACATGAATGCCGACCACGCCACGTGTGACACATGGGATCTCCCCTGGCACAGGGTAATTCAACAACGATCATTGATACCAAAAACAAAACATAAAAACAAAATACAAGGCAGGTTTAAGGGCTGTGCAATGTGTGCCAGACACTGACCTTGATGCCAGACAGTCACTGACCTCATGTCTAGAGTGATCCGATACTGAATCTAAAGCTGCTGTGGATGGAGTTTCATTCTCCAGAAATGTTAAAATGCCTTACAACTGACAAAATCAGCTTAGTCTGGTGGGAATTAAGTGTAGGTATACACACAATATGAAAATACAGCTACCAAACATGATAAAAAACATGTTGACATCACTTTAAGTAAATAAGTTACTAATATTTATGAATTTACTCAAAGTTGTGTCCATAATATCAACTGTTAGAATGATAGAAATCTTACTTGAAATTATTTAGAAAATACATTTTATAAACGGGACGATATTTATGTATGCATGTATTAAAATAATTTAGCAACATAAATTTGATGGTTAATTTATTTTACATGTTAAAAACTTAATTCTGCTCAAATAATCTATCAAATACACTCACTGGCCACTTTATTAGGTACACCTATACAACACTTCCACCTTAACATTTTTGTTTATGAAGCTCAAAAGGTTTCAGCTTTTGGTGAAACTGTCATAAATGTATAATTCCATTTTATGTTTATTACCAAGGTCATAGTTAAAGGTGTTGTACTGGACGATATTATATTTCAAGGTGTCTAGATTTTTTGTCCTCCCCAGCTACATGCATGAGAAGGTCAGAATATTAGGAACACCTCTGAATATGTTGTTGTCCAGGACAACACCACTGTGTATTACCACCTCAATAATAAATGTAAAATTGAATTTATACAATCATGACAATTTCACCACAAACTGAAACATTGAGCTTCATAAGCACAGACGTTAAGGTGGAAAGGTTGCAATCAATTGCATAAAATTGTACAGGTGTACCTAATATAATGGCCAGTCAGTGTATTTCCCTGAAGTTCCACCTTAATAAGGTGACTACATAAAAATAGTGAAACCATGTGCGGGTGTCAGGTACTGGTGGGACAGCACCACCTACAGGTTCTTATAAATGACATGTAACAGGGCATTTTAAAATCTTTTATTGTTTGTAAAGTTTTCTAGTTACACAAAAAGGGACAAAAACATTTAAAATCCAAAGCTGTAACTAGGTTCAACATATGACGAGTTTAATCCCCAAACAATCCATCCATTTAGAAAAAGGGCAGAAAATTAATTACAGTTTGACTTGATACTGACCTTGTGAATTTCGCCAGGACCCAAACAGATACAATTACCCACTACTGAGTCGATCTGTTTTTAAATATTGAATGAGCAAGCTGCCGATTTCCAAAACTGATTCCTGGTGTTTTGAAATTAAACCATTCATATATTGAAATGACCTAAAAATAGGAAACAACACCGTACAGAAGCAACTATAAAAATTAACAACCTTTAAACACTGAAGCCATGTGGCGATTATGACAAATATGTGTTAGCATTGTTCCATGAATACAAAGAGTATAGATTACAGAGTGAACTCCTTTTATCAAGGGTAGCAACAAAAACTGTTTGAGACCCTCAGAAATGCACCGAGCGCCAACAGTGACAATATGTAAGTTGTATGAAAACTATCTGAACTGTACACAAAGTGATTTGTTTTCTAAGAAGAGCCTGAAGGTTTGTTGCTTTTAAACAAGGTCTCCAGCTCTTCTTGATGCAAACTCCAGATTACAAAAACTCAGCACAAAACACAAATGGTAACGTGCTCTCGTCAGAACTCTCCACAGCTACGTTCCTTTTCTTGACCACTTCCACAGATGCATAGCTATGCAGGAAACTGTGACAAAACAAAACCACATCCTTCTCAACTTTGTAGTTTAATCAGCTTGAAATGATGCCAAAAACTACACATAATTCATTTTAAGGTGGGGCTTTCTGAGTATTTAAAACAACAGTATCCAGGAAAATTCCCACCTTTAGTGAAAGCTGGTTTATTTTTGACACGACTATAAACAGCTGGTGGAGTGAATGAGATATTTCTGACTTTGGGTGCTGTTGTGGAAGGCTCAGAACTACGCAGTGCACTGGAGAGGTGGAGGAGGAGGGAGTGAAGAGGAGGATGAAGAGCTGAAGACTATTAACCATGGGTGGTATCATCCTCCACAAAGTCTTTGGCCTGCTCTGCTGTGATCACGTCGATGTGACTCACCTAAAAACACACACACAGTTAATGACCAATCAATGCCTCCACTTCAACCACACTGTGACTGTTTATGTTATGAAACCTCAAAAACACAAAGGAAAGATGTTCTTTTCACTGAGGCAGCTCAGCAGAAAACAAACCAGGTCTGCTGGGGAAAACGTGATGGGCTCAAAAGAAAACAAACAGGGAAATTAACAGCAGTCACCAGTCGGGCTGAAAATAGTGACTGTCTGTTCGCTATCAACCTTAATTTACAGAGAATAATGATCTGTAAAGATGCAGCTTTCTTTGAAGAACTGTGGAAAACAGGGATTTTAAATGTAATTGCTGATGGTGATAACGAGGAGGAGGAGGATGCACTTGCAGAGAGTGGAGTGGAAGCTGCCCTGTTTTTAACTGAGGTCTGGTGCGGTCTTGGCTTTGACAGCGTCATATGACTAAAGCTGCTGTTGCACTGTTTATTTGCCACACTACACAACTCTCACTACACCCACTTCTGCTCTCACGTCACAGACACAACTGATCTGAGGCTCTTTCAAACACTGAGGCTGTGTTTACATAGACAATACTTGTTAGTAGGTCAAATTCTTTTTGTCCTTCTGAGAAAATAGTTGATAATTAAAAAAAAAAGTTCAAATCCTGATACCACTTTTTTTTTTTTTTAATCAGATGAAGTGTTCTGCTCAGGGGCACTTCAGCAAGGAGCTGGACCCCCAAAAAGTGAAGATGTGGATTATACAGAATAAATAGGAGATCTACAACACACTGTTTACTAACATTTTATTTGCACCTGTAAAACCTAAGGTAAACACAAGTTCAAATTCCTTTCAAAGCTGGATGCTTTGTGCTGTAATAAAACAAGTATATTTAATTTGTGAGAATGCAATGTTAGGATCTTCCACAGTCTGTGTGACAAATACCTGAATGCAGGAATATCTAACAGAAACAGAAGCCTCACCTTGTTTCTGAATTTGACACCATAGAACTTGTCAGCAGACTCGAGTAGCTCAGGCCTGAAGGTAGTGGTGATGAACTGGGCATGGCCTGCCAGCTCAACAATCATGTCTGAAATAGACACACAACACAACAATATTACCTCTTTTCTTATCTGCTAGGGCTGATGAAGTCTATACCTGACCACAAGTTTCAGTGATTCCTGTGAAAAACGAGGCTGTTATATTTAACCGTACAAGATTATATTGGTGTCATTTTTTTACTTTTATTTGATTCCCTTTATTGGCACTTTACCTGAGACAGCCTTCCTGTGCTGGGCATCGAGGGCCTGGTCGATTTCATCAAACAGGTAGAAAGGGGCGGGGTCACACTTCTGGATGGCAAATATCAGAGCCAGAGCCACCAGAGACTTCTGACCTCCAGACAGCTGCTGCATCTCTCTCATCTCACCTTGCTTCCCTGTGAACGACACCTACACAGAATGGAGGGGAGAGGGTCAGACCCGAAGCAGAATCACAAAGACATTTGTTATTTTCCGTTTAACTGGCTTAATTTGATTCGATTCTCAGTTTCGAGCAGACAGATAAACCAACAGATGACAGCTTTGATAATGATGGGTGAGTGAAGAGAATCATGAATAAATCATAGCACGACCAGCTTCACCTCGGCTCTGCTTTGTGGAGATGGATCAGGTGTCCAAGGATAAGTTGTCAGTACTCCAGAAATACACATGCACGTTTCCAAACAAAAACTCAAGGAAACACTCATAAAATAGGGGTAGATGATGACACAAAACGCCTACTGTTCTAGAAAGAAACAACGTGAGACCATGATAAATCTTAATGTGGCTCTATTTGAATGTGGGAAATACATCATGTGAATCAGAAATGTAACAACATGACAATTTAACATCATGACTATAATGACCAAAATTATCAGAACTCTTATAAAAACCTAAACAGGCCCACACTTCAGACTTAGTCTTAGATGAATATGGATGAAAATTCTCCAGAGCGTTGTCTCTCCATCTGTAACTGCATTTCACCATTTTTTCATAGACCCAAACAGGCCCACATTGCATTTGAGAACCTATAGCTACCTTTAGTAGATCCTAGACAGTATTTAACCCTTCAATGGGGGTAGTTTTTCAAAGTGTGGTAATCAACCAAAGTTTTAATGACATTTAAAATTTGAAGGGGTACTACTAACAGTCGGAAATTTCACCATAGTTTACCAAGACGCCCGGTAACCGTTTCATCCCTAATTGCGAATCATCCAGGACCAGAAAAACATCCGACATCACACCTTACTGATGTAAAAATATACAGTCTACAGTGGGGCAAATAAGTATTTGATGCACCGCTGGTTTTTCAAGTTCTCCCACTTACAGAGAATAAACAGATCTGTAATTTTCATCGTAGGTACACCTCAACTGTATGAGACAGAATCTACAAAAAAATCCCAGTAAATCACATTGTTAGATTTTTAAATAATTTATTTCCATTTTATTGCATGAAATAAGTATTTGATCGCCTACCAACCAGCAAGAATTCTGGCTCTCACAGACCTGTTAGTTTGTCTTTAAGAAGTCCTCCTATCCTTAACTCATTGCCTGTATTAATTGCACCTGTTTGAACTCGTTACCTGTATAAAAGACACCTGTCCACACACTCAATCTATCAGACTCCAACTTCTCCACTATAGGCAAGACCAAAGAGCTGTCTAAGGACACTAGGGACAAAACTGTAGACCTGCACAAGGCTGGGATGGGCTACAGGACAATAGGCAAACAGCTTGGTGAGAAGGCAACAACTGTTGGCGCAATTATTAGAAAATGGAAGAAATTCAAGATGACTGTCAATCTCCCTTGGACTGGGGCTCCATGCAACATCTCACCTCGTGGAGTATCAATGATCCTGAGAAAGGTGAGGGATCAGCCTAGAACTACAAGGGAGGAGCTGGTCAATGACCTGAACAGAGCTGGGACCACAGTCTCAGCAGTTACCATTAGTAACACATTACACCGTCATGGCCTAAAATCCTGCAGCGCACGCAAAGTCCCTCTGTTCAAGCCAGCACATGTCCAGGCCCGTCTGAAGTTTACCAAAAAACATCTGGATGATCCAGAGGAGGCATGAGAGAAGGTCATGTGGTCAGATGAGACCAAAATAGAATTTTTTGGTATAAACTCCACTTGCCATGTTTGGAGGAAGAAGAAAGAGGAGTACAATCCCAAGAACACCATCCCAAACGTGAAGCATGGGGGTGGAAACATCATGCTTTGGGGGTGCTTTTCTGCAAAGGGGACAGGACGACTGCACCGTATTGAGGAGAGGATGGATGGGGCCATGTATTGTGAGATTTTGGGCAACAACCCCCTTCCCTCAATAAGAGCATTGAAGATGGGTCGTGGCTGGGTCTTCCAGCATGACAATGACCCCAAACACACAGCCAGGGCAACTAAGGAGTGGCTCTGCAAGAAGCATTTCAAGGTCCTGGAGTGGCCTAGCCAGTCTCCAGACCTGTACCCAATAGAAAATCTATGGAGGGAGCTGAAACTCCGTGTTGCCCAGCGACAGCCCCAAAACCTGAGAAATCTGGAGAAGACCTGTATGGAGGAGTGGGCCAAAGTCCCTGCTGCAGTGTGTGCAAACCTGGTCAAGAACTACAGGAAACGTCTGACCTCTGTAATTGTAAACAAAGGTTTCGGTACCAAATATTAAGTTCTATTTTTCTATTGTATCAAATACTTATTTCATGCAATAAAATGGAAATACATTTTTTAAAGATCTAACAATGTGATTTTCTGGAATTTTTTGTAGATTCTGTCTCTCACAGTTGAGGTGTACCTACGATGAAAAGTTACAGATCTGTCCATTCCCTGTAAGTGGAAGAACTTGAAAAATCGGCGGTGTATCAAATACTTATTTGCCCCACTGTATGTTAATATCAAATGCATATCTTGGTGTGAGTTAGAGATGGCATTCAAAGGCTACTGAAAATGGCAGCATGGATAAAACTCAACTCGGTGAATAACTCACCCTGATGCCGACTCCAGTGAACTGGTCCACTGAAGGAACGCTGCTCTGTGACCCAGAGCCTCTCTCGCTGTCTGCACCGCCCTCTCCCTCATCCTGAGACTGGCTGCCTTCAGCATCACCCTTCTTCATCACCAACGTAGCTTTACCGCCTGGCACCAGCTTCTGGAAAACCTCGCTGAAGTTCTTTGACACCTGAGGGAGAAAACACATGGCAAGAAGAGCCACATTATTAGTCATGTTGACTCAGATGTTATTGGAATCCAACTACTGTGAGGAGGAGAGATTTCTAAAAGCACAAAGAGTTGAAAAAAAATGATTGTCTTAAACTACAAAAAGCTAACAACATGAACTAGTGCATTTGTGATTTAAATTCAATACAATCATTCATTTAGTTTTCACTAGCAGTTCACCTGTCAGGCTATTAATGTGACAATATGGATGTCTAGAAAAGACAGATATGGTGGTACCTCTATTATTCAACAGTACAGTGAATGCTGTCACTGACACAGGACAAACATGCTTCTGCCTGGTAAATTCTCAAATGCCGAGAAGCCAGTGTACATACACAAAACACCTGGTATAATCAGGTATAACAAACTGCTATAGCACTAAGATGATAACTACTGACATACCATCTCACCACTATCATCATCATCCAACAAAACTAGGTCTGACTGGTTAAACAGACTTCCCAATATTCACTATGGAGCCTTGCAACTGATATCAAGACACAAACTCAGTGTGTGTACCCCCTAGATGCGTTGATCAGAGCCCAACATGCCACGTACCTGTTTGAAGGTGAGCTGGATGGCCTCGTACTTGCGCAGCTCCAAGACGTTCATGAGCTCCATGATGGATTTGTAGCCACGGTCCAGCTCATCCTGACGTTTGATTAGCTTTTCCTTCTGCTCAGAAAAGTTGACAAACTGGTCCAGAGCCTTCTTGTTGACATGACTGTACTTCTTGAGCTCAGTGTTGCACTGCTCCAGTTTTCGGAACAACTGTTGAAAGGAGGAAAAAAGACAAGAATTAAATATCATTGGCTCCAGGTAAAGTCGGACTGGCAGTCTGTCTGTAACTTTTAAAAATTACTTTTCATAAGAGGCTTATTTTCAGAGCCTCATCTATGTGTGTTAGCATATTAATGATGATTTTTATATTTATTTATTCATTTAATCCTTAGCTATAACAGTAAAAATGATTTGTTTTTCTAAAAGGCTGCTATACATAATTTAATCCCTTTTACTTTTTGTGATAATGGAAGCTTTACAACACATTTCAACTTTAGAATAATTTAAAGCATACACATACAGACCTTTGACAAACCGCTGTCACATTGACTTATTGTGTCTTACTGAAACATGGTTACAGCAGGAAGAATATGTCAGCCTAAATGAATCCGCCTAGTCACAGTAAATGTCACATTCCTTGAAACACAGGCCGAGGTGGTGGCGTGGCAGCGATCTTTGACTCAAGCCTATTAATCAGCCCTAGACCTAAATATAGTTATAACTCATTTGAAAGTCTCACCCTGAGTCTCTCACACCCAAACTGGAAAACTCAAACTACTTGTTTGTTATTGCATACCATCCATGATGCTCCGTGGACATTCGTTTGGAGCTACGACTCTTGCGAACTGTCACCCAGTGAGATCGCGGCTGCTCGGGAAGCTGTGGGGGGCGGCTAGTTTGGGCTAAGTTACGTCTAGGAGGCTCCACACCGGCTACATGGGCATAGCTAGCTGGCCTATTCTCCATGGTGTGGAGCTGCGCTTCTAAGTCTGTGAGCCTCACCTCCAATGCTGCTAGCATTTGACATTTATTACAAGTACCATTATCGCTAAAGGAGGCAGAGGAATAACTGAACATGTGACATTCCGAGCAAGAGAAAGGAGGAGAGGAAGAGGGGGAAGCCATTGCTCTCGATGAAGCTACTAGCTTAGCTAGCTTCTAAACTAGCCGACCTAAAGTAGCAAGTTAAATTTGGTAGTTAGCAAGAACTTCTGCAAAACGAGTGCTTTAAGTGGTGCAAGCGTATGTTGTCACTCAAAAATTCAGATGAACCTAGAATATAGTGAGTTTAATTCCTAAACAATCTGGAAGCAAGCACAACGCAGTGCAAATACAGAAAACAGGAAATGAGTACGGTTTACCGCAGGAAACAGCAGTCCGTCAAAGGTTCCGCATCCAAACTTGTCCAGTTTAATGAGCTCTCAGCTCATTAAATGTAAAGCATATTTATAATATAGTTTATATTTTGACAAACAATGTAAATTCATTTATAGCATTATTTATCCTTTCCTCGAGGGACTCCAACAAGGAAAGACTGGGCCCACCACTTCAGCTGTGCCGTTTGGTTATGTGGATCTCTGCAGAGTTCTTTAGCTCGATGTAGCAGCCAGGATGAGCTTTATAATGTTCTCTGTTAAAACGTGTTATGTATTAGATATTTTTGTTTATTTTATGTAATGTCCATTTGGAATAGCGTTGTGTAAATACTTTTGTTTGGGAAACTCAGATGTCCGAGTTTTCCACGTGTCCTTAAACGCACCGTGCATTCGTGGATCGTGGACTTTTGAGAGTGCGGAAACACTCTCAAAAATCCGTGTGTGCGCGGAAGGTGATTCGTGTGTGTTAGACGATCCACGCATGCGTAGGTAACAATGTGTACGTACTTTCTAAAGAACAGCACACGAAAAATCGATTTTAAGCATTTGTAAAATGTGTTTTACGTGCAGTTTGTACAGCATGCATTTGTGAACAGCATGACACACACAAATCGCTTTATACGTGCAGATTGCGCAGCACGCATTTGTGAACCTCATGACACACACACACACACACACACACACAAATCGCTTGTTACAGACAAAACGTTAAACACGCATTTGTAACATTTTTGATAGTGTTTTATCTCCATAGAGCTTGAGCATTGGGATCTTTATCCCGACAGTCCACCTCACCAGAGAAGAGAAGTTTGTGGTCTGTGATCTGTGAGACAGGTGTGCAAGATGGTGAAGAAGGCCTCATTAGTGTTAACCACTCCACCTGGGTCAGGTAAACTGTCGATGTTATCTGTACACATGTACTGCTCAAACCGGTATCCCCAGTGCATCATCTGTTCTGTACACATGTAATGCTCAAACCGGTATCCCCAGTGCATCATCTGTTCTGTACACATGTAATGCTCAAACCGGTATCCCCAGTGCATCATCTGTTCTGTACACATGTAATGCTCAAACCGGTATCCCCAGTGCATCATCTCTTCATGCCTCTCAGTGTGGTTCTCACGTTCCAGCTCCTGTTGCAATCAGTGATCTAAACCAGCACAGTGAAGGACATCACCCACTTTATAGGCCCTCCACTATGTGTACAGTAAATAGCTGCATGGCCTACTCCAAACAGCTCAAAATGATGGGCCACTGGGCTGCTGTTCTTAGACTCAATTTTTTTTCCTCTCTTTTTCCCCCTCAGCTCTGTTACAAGGAGAGCTGAGGCATATTCCGTGAGATGAAAGAGGAAGAGGCAGATATAGGGTCTAAAAGGGGAAGGAAAAGAATGAACCCTGGAACCACAACATGCTACAGCGAGCAGCTAAACAAACCTGAAACTATGAAGCTTGATCATAGACACTACTTCTGCAGTTGGTTTGGCTAAATCTTTGGCTTGATCAGTTACTGTTGCGTGTTTTATTGTTATTATTTTTTAATGTCTTTTAGGAAGATGTTTCATATTGCTCTGCTGCTGGCCATTGTCATCAGTGTGAACATGTTTCATGCATGTTTAATTCCTGCCTGAAAACCAAATTTAGAGATATTTTGGATAATAATGAAAGTAAAGTTGAAGCATTTAATAAAAAGTTATTGAAATTCAGTGTTATATTCATAACACATTTTACCACAGAAGGCCTTTTAAAGCCCTGCCTTACTTTACAATATAAATGACTAAAGTACAGTCTTACCTTGCTAAGCATAAAGCCTACCAACAGAGCTTCATCACAAGACTGATGTGTTGCTGTATTAAATGATATAAAATATGTGCTCTTGGCACCACTAGGTTTTTCCTTTACACTTTGAGCTGTTTGAGCCCAGCAGAACACGTGAGCATATGAACATTTATTCAACAAGTGCTTTCTGTTTACTTGTATTTTGACTCAAGTTGAGTATGTGAGTCACACCAGAGACAGGCCACCTCCCCATTTCAATGGTGCAAAATGTTATTCCTTCCCCCCTCCATCAGACAGTGTCACCCTATTGGCCAATCACTGGGTGACACAAGCAGCTGAAAAATTGAAGGACACGGGAGGCTGCACACTTCTGGAAAAACAGTGACACACACACTCCATCACTGAACATCTTATGCTATAACTGAGTTGTTCTTTCTTTTGACTGCACCAACAGTTAGGATTCATACGACTGCTGTGAAGTTTTAATTCTAACATACATCTTTTCATTGCTGACTTGCTCATATCTGCCACCATGTGCCTTCTGACAGCTGCCCTGTTGTTTTCTTTACTTGGTGAGTATTTTGTATTTAGCTTGGTCAGAGTGTTATGTGATTTATGTAATTTTTAGACTATGTGCCACGGAGGACAAAGGGGGTGGAGAGAGTGTGGTTAATGTTGTGTTTAATAATGACATCAGCTGCTCTTTTGGTCTGTTGGTGGGAAAACCTGTTTCTCAGTATGGCCAAAGACTGCTTTTGTAGTTATGACTGATTATCTGTCCTAATAGTGTTTGCCTTGTTTAGAAATAGACTGTGCAGTAGTTATACCAGAAGGTCAGTGTTACTGATGAAAACTTAGCATTTTGCTGTAGGTTTTTGTGTGTGTGTTAGTACTTATTCTGTTTCTACAACCAGAGTACATTAAATGTGCACAGCTTTAACATGTAGAATCTGACAATAGCAAACCAATTCACTTGTACCCTATTTATGACATTCTGCATTTGCTAGTACTCAGTGATTTGATCAGAATTCAAAATCAAGAAAATAATTTTAGACCTGTGCTGTAGTCACACTGTGGAAGTAACATTTCTTCTATCGGCTCTCACCTTAAATGTCAGAAAGGAAATAAATGAAGTGAAAGTAGATACTATACACTGTCCACAACAGAAACTATAAGTACAACTGAATTAAAAACTATTTCCAATAATAAGCAGCACAACCTAAGTGCTTTTATGCTTTAAAAAAAAAAAGATGTTATGACTGTAATAGTCTTTATTTGTCTGAATTCCTCACTTACACCTAAGCAGTTGCACACAAAAAAATGCATACTCAATATTTATATTAAAAGTGTATTCAAAAACACTAGCTTCCTGATACAAACAGTTTTGAACCTTTCCATTAATTTTTGAACCCCAGACTTTTACACCGAACCTTCAAACTTTAAACCAGTTTCCACCTTTTTTACTTTATTATATAAGAATAGAATGATCCCACACCAGTTTGACTGGCATTTCAACTTCTATCAGATTTCAAATGATTCAACTGCACATTTTCATGAGCGAGCACACATGTAAATTTCCTACTAAAAGGTTTTGCCTTTTCTACTTTGGCAGCAGTCCAAGAGTTAGCAGACAGTACCTGCTGTATGCTTAGCTGGAGGCATCATTTTGCAAGATCTGTGTAAATGGATACGCTAATAGCTGTGTGGGCAGTATTATATGGATGAATATTTCTTAAACCAGAATGTAGTTTACAAAACGCTGTGTACAGTACATTGTGATAGTTAATCCTCACTGCAGCTTCCACATGTGTGGACATATTTATGTATATCATTTGAATTTATGGTGCATTTTAATGTTTAAGATGATATGAGATTAAACTTCTGTATAAAATGGAACTGAAGAAGGTAAAGTCACAAGCACAACTCAAAAATGGAACTAATAAACAGACTATAACCACTTATAATAAAGTAATAATATGTCATTCTTATTATTTATTATACAATAAATAATTGGATAGAAACTAAAAAAGATGTCCTTGTACATGTGGCCTTCTCTGTGTGTATGCATTTCTATGTGAGCACAAAAATTGGTCTCACAATATCAATACTGTAGGATTCAGTTTACATCCAATACTGATACACAATTCATTTAGTGTGCCAAAAAGTATATGTGTCCTTGAATGCTCTAGCCACCCATCCATCCATCCATTATCTATACCGGTTACTGTGTTAGACACAAATTATTATTGCAATCACTGTAGCAGTGTTTTTAATGTCTTAAAATATTGTTCGGAGGAGATCTGTAGTGTTTTAAACCAATAATGAGAACCTTTTCTGAACTTTAGGCAGGTTTTAATGATCTAAAATCAATCCTACAGCAATATTATATATTGCTCATATTACAGAAATATTACTTAAAAAAATGGCAATTGAAAATTTAAAAAATGTAAATTAGGTATTTGCAGGACAGTAAGTTGTCTGTTTGATGAGGTGGGTTGTATAGGAACAAGTGCAGGAGCCCAGATTACTGCATTCAGATTACTTCTTGTCCTCCTTTTGCAGGTTCCTATTCTTGTGCTCAGTTTCTGGCACCTCTAAACATGGGAGGAGTCACAGGGCAAGTGAAATTTGACTCCACCTCCCAGACAGCCGAGGTCAACGTGTCTGGTGCTGAAACCTGCGGTTTACTTAACTTTTCCCTCAGCGAGTTCCCCGTCATGTATGGCCATTTTGCTCAGCCTTGTTCAGAAGCAAATATCGGCCCCAGTGTCTTCACCTTCACAGCTGCTTCAGCTTCCACTGTCAATGTGTCACACATCTTTCAACAAAGATCAAACCTGGATGACTTCTCACTGGCTTTATTGACATGTTCGGGCATTAAAGTATGCACAGTTATAAGTCAAGGTCAAACACTCTTGACTCGTCAGGTTAGGTTTACCGGACCCATCGCGGGTAATGTTTACATTCGTATTAACACAGGACAGACCAACCTCAGGCTTCTTGCAGATCTAGTTACAATCGGTCAGGTCAATGCCTTGCAAACAAATGTCACTCTTTTTGGATCTATGAGCACTGCAGAAAGCTGTGCTGTCCTACTTGGAAGCCTGAACGCCTCATCTTTGACCAGTCTGGGTACAGTAAAGGTTGGAACTCCTTTACAACCTCAGAAGTCTCGTCTGGACCTCGACAGCCTCAGCATCAACAACAGCTTTCTTCTTTTCTTCACTGGGTCAAGTTACAAGTGTGCTCAAATGTATAACCTGCCAGAGAAACAGGTGGCCGCTGTTGTGAATATGAGAGGCATCAAGGGATACTTTAGTTTCCATCAAGCATCCCCTTTTGATGTAACAGAGTTGAGGGTGAACCTGACTAACCTACAGAGCAAAGTCGGCCCCTACCACGTCCATTTTTTTCCTGTCCCCTCAGTCAAGCCGCCTCCATCAAGCTTGTGCTCAAACGATAATGTGGGTGGCCACTGGAACCCATTTGGCATCAACACGACTGTTCCAACATACCCAAAAGTGCCTGGTTCAACACACGACATGTATGAGATTGGTGACCTCAGTGCCAAGCATATGTCCCTTGGTGGTCAAACCAAAGTAGACATGGTGTTCAAGGACTTCAACCTCCCTCTGTATGGACAGAACAGCATTGTAGGTCGCTCAGTTGTGATTCACCAAACAGATGGCACCAGATATGCTTGTGCTAGCATCAGCTATCCTGGTACAGTGATTGTAGCCAGAGCCACTTTTCAGAGCCCTGTGGTTGGTAACATCTGGTTCACCCAGCTGGAGAACAGCCCTCTGTCTGATGTATCCATCTTCATGGATCTGTCATATGGAAATCTCACAATGACACCAACCAGAAACCACAAGTGGCATGTTCATTCTTACCCCATTAGCTCAGAAAGGGATGATGATGAAAAGAGCTGCAGCACAACAGAAGGACACTGGAATCCCTTTAACATTAGTACAGAAGACAGCAGCTATGCCCTCCACTGTAGTCCATCTAGTCCCTTATCCTGTGAGGTGGGTGACCTGTCCAGCAAGCACAGCACCATCAACCTTGGCACCAAAGTGGGCGGAGTGGAAGCAAAAAACTTCTTCACTGATGTCACTTCCTGGTTGCCTGGGTCAGGCATTATTGGTCGTTCTGTGGTCATCCATCAACCAGAAAAAGGAGCGCCAAGGATTGCTTGTGCCAATGTTACAGTGGTACGAGTCCCCAAAGCTAGCCTAAGTATCTGGTTTGGCACAGATATGTCCAGTGGCCAGGTGCGGTTCTCCCAGGCAGTCCCACAAGGCCCCACAACTATAAACGTATCCCTGATGAACTTAAACTCATTAGCTGGGGGTTACCATGTTCACTTACTCTCCATCAAAAATGGCAGTGTAGACCCCTGTTCTAATGCAAATATCCTGGGTCACTTCAACCCCTTAGCCTGGAACATATCAAACTCCCCACCACCAGGAACAGGCACTGTGGACCAGTATGAGATTGGAGACATTAGTGGGAAGTTTGGAACGCTGAATGGCCTCAACCAATCCGAGGCTGTATACATGGACCCTGATATGCCATTAACTGGACCATACAGCATAATGGGAAGGTCACTGGTGATTCACTACACCAATGGATCAAGGTGAGAACCTGCTTGTGTTTGTTAGAGAAACAGAAACTAACAGAGAGAATCAAAGTGAAACAGAGAAGAAGATCTGAGAAATACACACCAGATGACTACAGCTTCATATATCTGCTAAAGAAACAGTGAGCACTGTAACTATGCTGGAACCACAGATTCTTATCCTAGGATATGAATGCCATAGTAAGAGACTCACCCAGTCTGTTGAGGGTAATTATTGTATAGGCTGTCATGGATATCAAGTCACATTGTCCTAAGATTATGTATTATAATACAGATAATTTTCCTTATTCATTGAGAATGACTCAGCAAAGTATTGTGCAGTAGAAAATCCTGTGGTTAACCCTGTGGTTAACCCTGCAGATTTGGATATGATTTGCTCAACTTGTTTGTGTGTATTTGTGCATGTCTATGCCTGTGTGTGTATTTTCTCTGCAGAATGAAGTGTGCCAACATCTTAGCTGACAGAGATATAGATGGACAATGGATTATTGCAAAAGCTGTTTTCAACAGTACAGTGTCTGGGACAATTCGACTGGTAAGAACCAACAAGAGACAGTCTTTTGTACCAATGTTAATACATGCAGTTGCATGTAAATTGCATCTCAACATCAGTAATCTTAAATCAGCTGTGTAAGAACCAACAAGAGACAGTCTTTTGCACCAATGTTAATACATGCAGTTACATGTAAATTGCATCTCAACATTAGTAATCTTAAATCAGCTGCTCAGTGTTTATTGCACATGATCATATTGCTAAACTTTGCCATAGTGTAAAATATAAAAACATTTTATAGGCATGAGAAAAAGCAAGGTGAATTTTACTACAGTA